ACATTCACAGAGTTGTCTATAAGCCACTCTTTCTGTGTGCTTAGGGTCATTGTCCTGTTGGAAGGTGAACCTTCTGCCCAGTCTGAGGTTCTGAATGCTCTGGACTGGGTTTTCATTAAGCCTATCTCTATATTTTGGTGCATTGAGCTTTTCTTCTACTCTGATGAGTCCGTCAGACCCTGCCGCTGAAAAATAGCCCCACAGCATGAGGCTGCTACCAGCACACTTTACTTTTGGGATGGTACTCTGCAGGTGATGAGCAGAGCTGCTTTCCTTTAAACATGATGTTTGGAATTGAGGTTCATCAGACCAGAGAATATTGTTCCTCACAGTCTGAGGGTCCTTTAGTTGCTTTTTTTTCAAATTCCAAGTGTGTTTTTATGTGTCTTCACTGAGGAGAGGATTGCATCTGGCCACACCACCATAAAGCACAGATCGGTGGAGTGTTGCAGTGATGTTTGTCCTTCTGTAGATTTCTCTCATCTGCATATATGATCATGGAGCTCAACTAGAGTGACCATCAGCTTCTTGTTCACCACTCTAACCAAAGCCCTTCTCCATCAATTGCTCAGTTTGGCCAGGAGGTCAGCTCCTAGTTGTTCCAAGCTTCTTCCATCATGGATAGTAGAGGCTACATGCTTCTGTGAACCTTCAATGCAGCAGAATTTTTTTCTGAACTCTTCCCCAGATCTGTGCCTTGACACAAGCCTGTTTCTGATCTCTATAGGCAGTTTTTTTTAACCTCAGGGCTTGGTTGTTGCTCTGATATGCATTTTCAGCTATTAGACCTTTTCTGAGAGGTGTGTGACTTTCCAAATCCTACTCATTCAAATGAATTTTCCACAATTTTACTCCACTCGAAGTGTAGTAACATCTACAAGCGATATGAATGCTCCTGAGCTAAATTTCAAGTGTCTCTGAATATTTATGCAATGGAATCATTTCAGCTTTTATTTCTAATAAATTTGCAAAGTTGTAACAAACCTGTTTTGTGCTTTGTTATTATGGTGTATGGATTGTAGACTGATGTGGGAAAAAAAAGTAATTTAAAGCAGTTTAACATAAGGCTGCAACATAACAAAACGTGAAAAAAATGAAAGGGTATGAATACTATCGCAAGGCACTGTATATATATATATATATATATATATATATTAAAATGTGATTTAAAGCTGAATTTTCAGCATCATTACTCTAGTATTCAGTGTCACGTGATCCTTCAGAAATCATTCTAATATGCTGATTTGCTGCTCAAGAAACATTCTTAT